TCTCATGCTATTCCATTTTATCCATAGCCTGAATTATTTCCTAATATATTATTTCATTTATTTGTATGTCTCTCTCCAGTAGAGTATTTCCATGGAGGAAAATACTTGTATTTCTTCACAGATGTATCCCAAATGTCTACAGAAAGTCCCTTGTATATGGTTGGACCACAATAAATATAAGTTGGCTGGGACCAGTAAATGGCTTAAGGGTTATATTATTGGACTCACACATAGTCAACCACGGTTCAAGTCTCGGACAGGGTGGCTTAAACTCACGCCTAGCCAGTTGTGTGTGCATGCCCAAGATCCTGAGAAGAGAATGGAGGAGATGGGATTGCAGTGTGGCCATCCTCCCTGGGGAGTGATATCTCACTTTCTGTCTCTCTGTCCCTCTCTGTCTTTCTGGCAAACACATGCCCCCATAGCAAAAACCTCTCTTCAAAAAGAAAAAATCTGTTGGCTTAAACTTGTTTGTTTAGTCTGTGTCTATTTTCACCCAGCTTCCTTCACTACCTTTCTCTCTTCCTCTTTCTCTTTCTTCACGCCTCCCAATCTATTGATTTATCTTACTTCTATATTTATGTCACTGTTTTAGTCCTTCTTTGTTAGTCCCAGAGGTTCCATGGTTAACTCATCTTTATAGCTACCAATTTCAGAGGAAATAGAGCTTTAACTTCCTAATGGTGCTAGAAAATTCCCAGAGTATACTATTATTAGGCTGACTGGTTCACATGCCATTTCTGAGTCAATCATTATTATGTGTGTGAGGCTGAGAAATGTAATGCTCTGGTTAATTTGGGTGCTTCTCAAAGTTTGTCCTGAAAGGCAGCTGCCTCTAGGAACTTGTTAGAAAGGTAGACTCTTAGACCCCATTCCAGACCTACTGAAACAGAATTTACATTTGAATAGCATTCCTTGGTGATATGCCTTTAGTCTATTCCCCCATGGAACTGGAAGTGTGGGGGAGAGGAATGAGGCCAGTCCAACCAAACAACCCAAATTTGGTTGCCCCAGAAAACTTAAATGTTCTTTTGACCAGAAGGCAGAATGTATGTCAAGCATGAAAAAAAAAAAAAAAACCAAAACTAAAAAACAACAAACACACACACACATACAAATAGCAATTACAATACATAATATTTATTAAGAAATTTTGATATATCAAGCACTGTATTTAACCTTTTTCACTATTTATGTTATCAACATTTGTACCATCCTATAAGATTTCAGCAATGATACCTCAGGCGTAGAGATAAAATTGTATGTCCAAAATTCTGTCGGAGAGTAAAACGGAAATAAAACTATAATACAATATCAGGTAGTAATAAGTGCCGTGGAGAAAAATCAAGCAGATTAACATGATAGAGCATGACCCAGGATGACTGGTAGGATACTGTGATTTGGATAGGTCAAACCCTGAGGAAATAGTTTGAGCACAAACTTAGACCAAGTGATGCACAGATGGGATAAAAGAACTTCTCAGTCACTTCACAGAGGAAGAGGGAACTGGAGAGTCTTATACCTGCTCTTCTGCTACTGAGACCCTAGTGACATGTTTCCCTTTTTCTTTACTTCACTTTTGAAAAAATTTTATTAATTAATTTACTTATTTTCACTGACCATCACCAAAGCATACAAAATATGATTTTCCAGCCAGAATACACTATAAAGTGGCTTAATCGTGCATGTTATCATGTGGATCCACTGCTGTACTTGTATGAATTAGTGACTACAAGTAGAGCTTTTATTTGGTTATTCAGATCCATGACTTGGAATACCATCTCACTTGTTTCCCAAACTGTTATCTACACCTCAAACCCCTCCAAAGTAATTTATCCAATTGTTTACCTAACAATTTTACTGAGAACTCTAATAAACATCTTACATTTGAAAAGTCCAAAATTTGATTATCCAACTTACTCTATTTCCAAGATTCTCCTTTTTGGTAACTAGCACAAATATCCAATAGTTTTCCTAGGGACAAAGCACAGTAGTAATTCTCTCTACCTCATGCACACATATTTAATTCATTGGAAATATCTGTTGGCTCTACATTTGCAATATATCCTCAGGCATTTTACTGCTATCAGCTTCCTATCCTCTCTTATCTCTTACCTAGACTAGCACTGCAATAGCATCCTAATTAGTCCCCTTGACATTGTACATTCCTCCACCTATTCTATATTAACTATTGCCTGTTTTTAGACAATATATTTAAAGCAAGAACCAAATAACATCACTCTCCTACTCAAAAAGATTCAAGTGACTTTTTTCATTGTACAAAGATTAATTGAATATTTTTTAACCATTGCCAAAAGAGCCTTCATGAAATGATTCTAGGCTATATCTCTGAGTTTATCACTTATACCCATTTGATTATAGCCACACTGGCTTTTATTTTTTTCTTTGATTTTCTTTAAAATATTAAACTCCTTCGCAATTTGGGATTTTGTTGGCCTTTTTTTCTGTCTAAAATGGTATTACCCTGTAACTGTCATGGGTAAATTCTCAGCAGAACACCTTCATAGCTCTTATCTCTGAAATCACTAAATCTCTGCTGTCATGGCAAACTCAGTCTTCTTCCCCTCTCTTTTGAGTAGCACCCAAGTTCATTGCCATGAGCAGTTACATGCCCCTGCCTAATTGCAGGAGCTTGGAAATGTGGAGGAATATATGAGTTATTTGGTGAACACTGCTATCTCTCACACAGTATCTCATTTCTAAGTAAGAAAGTGTGATAAAGAAGGAAAAAGCCATTCTTACAAAAGTATAAAGATAAGGCCACAGTATTTTTCTGCATCTCTACTGCTAATTTAACATAATTATATAGGAGTAAGACAAAATGCAAGTTTCAGTAACATTGCAAATGTGTAGTTTGGAGGTGATACAATAAGAAAGATTTAACATATTCCAATACTCTATCATTCTCCACTAACAACCCTTTGCCAGATCTTATGTGAGCAATTTTCTCTGAACTAATTAAAAAGGAGATGCAAATGAATCTTAAATTTTTTTTTCTAATCAGAATATTTCTCAAAAAATCCTCCTAGAAAAAAAATCAGGAGCCAGGGCTATAAAATCTTAACATGAAAAGGAAGGATGCTAATATTGAATATGAGCTGCCTCAATTAAATTTATCTCAAAAATTAACCCAGAACAGTAAAATTTGTTGTTGAATTAAGTCCTCTAAAGGTTCATAGCTTTTCTTTCTGGGAATAATGGTATTTATTTATATATTTTGAAGACTATTAATTGGATCATTCCAATTGTCATAGAACTTAAAAAAGTTAGAAACTCTCTTAGTGATTTATTTTTTAAACACAAATTGTTTTTGAGTCTCTTCCTTTGAAGATTGTACTACAGATTGGAAGTTATGGACAGAATTATTTTGAGAGCAAACATCTATTTAAAACGCCAAAGACCTTGTCCAAACACCAGCTAGGAAAATCAATATTTTCTTTTGTAAGGAAATAGTTTGGCTGCTTAAGCATCATCAGAATGCCCTCTAATACCACTATTGCACTTAATTTTGAAATAAAAAAATCTGAAGAGACAAGGGAGTTGGATCTAGTGGGTGATAGGCTTCAAGAATATTGCTGCTTTTAAAAATGGTGAACCAATAATGGCATTAGTTATAGACATTTATATTTCCTAAACAATTGCTTCTTGTTTTACAGAATGATTGGCTTTGCTACTTGTTTGGAATAGAATATTCTAAATACTAGTCCTTATTTTTCTGTGCCAATGACTGGTTGCTTACTGGTCTTGAAGAATTAAATTCAATACTGAAATCTTTACCAAATAACTGAATTAAAAATTACTATCTTGCCACAATTATTTAATCATTTCAGTCAAATAAAACATTTTTTTGAAAAGTTTTTGCTATAGGGATGTGCACTTGCCAGACAGACAGAAAGAGACAGAGAGACAGAAAGCGAGAAATCATCCCCCCAGGGGGGTGGCCACACCATAATCCCTTCTCTTCCATTCTGCTCTCAGGATCTTGGGCATGCATGTACACATGCCTGGCGTGAGTTAAAGCCACTGGGTCCAGGACTCGAACCGTGGTCAGTTACATGGAAGTTCAGTGACATAGTCATTACACTAACTGCTGGTCCCCAAATAACATTTTTAATATTGATAATAATGAGCAAACAAATCACCATGATAGATTTATATATAAAAATTAAAAGCATTATTGTTTTTGTATCCAGTCAAGAAAGCAGCCTTTGATGATTTTCAACCAAATATTCATCTTAACTTTACAAATTAAACTATTATATAAAATAAAATTAAGTAATTTTTTGATAAACACATGTGAATATATATTTTGTTCATCTGTTTATGTCAGCTTCCCTATGCAAATTTATTTACTAACTTCTCAAAGGATTCAAGATGGCTTGCAGTAACTCAAAACAAAATGGGAAAAAAAATAAACATAAAATCACATCTGTGTTAAACCTAGGCAGAATAGAAGTTCAAGAAGAAAGGAAAGTCAAAACACATCTGCGAAGAACATGTATGTGAAGTCCTTTTGAGGGCCAGATTTAAATAAATTTCTTATGAAATCTGCAGATGGTAAAAAAAGTGACTCCATGAGGAAAATATGAGCATTAACAAAAATATTGGAGCTACCGAAATTTTTTATGAAAGGGAAACAGATACCTTATTGCACATTTTACTTAAGCTTTTATTATGAGATACAAATTAATGCATTTCTGTTTAGTTGATTGATTATTAATCTAAGAAGTACAAATACTTGATGATAAATATTTGTATTTGAAAAGTCACAACAAGTTATCACAAGTGTAATAACTTCTTTTATATCTATTTAATGTACTAATTGCATGACAGTAAGTAAACTAATGGAATAGCACCTGCATATGCAGTTGAATTGGATGGAATTACAGAGAAAAAAACCTGATAGCAAAGTAAACAGAGTGACATAATGCTAAACAAAAATAGCACTAACTGATTTCTGTTTCTCTGAAAACTTTCAGGTGTTGTCAAAGTGGATTATGGAGATGTGTCAGTCAGAAAAACACTAAGAGAAAATCTGAAGTGTAAGCCTTTTTCTTGGTACCTAGAAAACATCTATCCAGACTCCCAGATCCCAAGACGTTATTACTCACTTGGTGAGGTATGAATTATTTATTTTGGTTGAGTTATAAATATATTTTGCAAATGGAGCAATTTCTAAGGAGTTCAGTATTTTTCATGTTATGAATAAAATGCTGTAAGGGTTTCAGATTGATCTATTTTAAATGACTTTTCATATTTCACAAGGACCACAAAGGTCTTTATCATAGGAAATTATACAGTGATAGGAAATTTTAAGCCTGAGCAAACAATATTTTCTTGTCTTTTTTTTTTTACCAACAATTCGAAAACTTTCAGTTACATAAATTTATACTCTTAAAATTCTTGCGAACTATAAAGAGCTTTTGTTTATGTGGGTTATAACTTAATATTTTCTGTATTTAAACTGAAACTGAGAACTTTAAAGCCTATTATTTATTTATTAAAAATAATGTAGTAACCAATTACATGAATTGTTTTTAATGACTGTTTTTATGTGTCATATCCATGCCCTATTGGTTAAATTTTCACTTCTTCATTAGCCATGTGAATACTTTTCTAGACAGTCTTTCGGTTTACATACTTCCTCTTAATCTGAACAATGTAGTGAAAAAATTCATGTGTAATAACACTAACTTTGCCAGTATATAGGCGTGTAACTAGCCACTTAATAGTCCTGTACCTCAGGGTTTTGTTTTGGTTTTGTTTGTTTTTACTGGGAAAAGGTGTACTATTGCTGTTGTTTTCAAATATATATTGTCCTCATACTAGCACTACTTTCGAAGAGATTTATATTCAATGTACTGAATTATGAGTGCTTTTAAAATCAGAACATTTTGCCTATTAATTATGTAATCCATTACATTTCTCTTCTAAATATCTAATACTCTCATCTCCTTATTTAAATGTTCCCTTGAACATTTATGAGCGTAACTACACCTTTAGAAGAAAGGAATTTTTCTATTTATCTAATGAAGTATTTTTTTTTCACTGTTGTTATCAGGCCCAAATGATGAGTAAATATTGATTCATTTTTTTAAAAGGAGGTCTAAGGCCCAGCCACAACACACTGGTAGAACCTACTATTTGGGAGACTGAAGCAGGATGACTTCAACAGAGTGAGACCCTGTCTAAAAAGTAGAGTAAATTGAGACCAGCAGATAGCATAATGGTTACATTGCTTGATTTCCACACTCTGATAGTGGTTCAAGTTCTGGACCTAGAGGCTTGAAATTCATGCAGGGTGTGTGGTGTGTGTGTGTGTGTGTGTGTGTGTGCCCCCAAAATCATGAGAGAATAGAGGAGAAGGGATTGTGGTGTGGCCATTCCCTTGGGGAGGTGATTTCTCATTTCCTGTCTCTCTGTCCTCCAGCAAGTACAAATGCCCTATATCAAAATAAATAAAGAAAGAAAGAAATAACACACACACACCTGATAAATACAATACAATAAAAAGAGGTATAACCAGATCTAGAACAAGACAGAGACCAGCAAAGAGGTGTTTGAGGAGATGCTCTGAGATCACTGGAATAACCCCAAAAAAGGCTTAGGACTCTGAAACAGAATTAGATTTGTATTTGCAAGTTAAATAAATTTTTTTGCTTTCCTGCACTACATCAGGAAACCTGGCTGCCTAAAACAGTAAAAATAAAATATAACATGTGTAAATTTCCTGATAACAACTTACTGATTTCGAATTAGCTATTTTCTGTAATAGGTCTGGTAGTCATATTTTAATTTATGAAAATACTTTGTGAAAAGTTTTTAAAAAGAGGAATTGAGCCCTTTAGGGTCTTTGAAACATACCTTAAAAAAGGCAACATAGAGTATTGGGAAAGTCTTAGGCCCTGAATCAGGCAGAGGACAGTTGAAAGTCACAGCCTCATAGCTTCTGATTCGAGTGTGGCACAAGGTATCCTGTCAGGTCTCTGTCAAAAGAATGAAGATGATGACACTGTGCTGCTGTTGAAGACCTACAGCATCTAGAACAGTGTCTGGCAAGAAGTCGTAGCAGTGGTAGTAGTTACAGTTACTGTGATTATTATAACTACCACTGATTGATATATTAATATCAAACATTATTCCAAGTTCTTCATATGATTTCTGTTACTTAAAAATCACAGCAACTCCATGACTTGGGTTTTATTTTTATACTCAATTTAAAAAATAAACTAATACATAGAAAGTTCATGTCATTGGTCTATGGTTTATGTCATTGGTCACATAGTCAGTTAACTATTAAAGTCAGTGTTCAACTACATGCTAGTCTGACACTATAGTTTTCTTGTTTCTTATAACAAAGAGAAAATAACTGGTTTTCTAGTACTTTATTAGTTCAAAGTACTCTTACTGAAGAAGAGATTGAGCAAGAACCAGTGTTACATGCTTTGCGTGCAATGTCATGTAAGGAAAGACCTTTCCTCTTAGCCATTTTACTGAATAGGGTGAGTGCAATGTGGCAAGAAATACTACACCAGGTAAAAAACCTTTATAGAAGTTAGAGGTACCCTACATGGTTATATGGTATGCTGTGAACTTGTATTTCAAAAATCTGACGAAATAACCCCCAAAAAATCGATGAGATACATTAAGTTTTGAGCTTTCTGGTGTGTTAATGTACTGTAGTTTTCCACTTTAAAACCAGCTTTAAAGAAATGTAATCCAGCATCTATCTGTTTCCATGGAAACTGAAGGACAAATTCAACAAGCACTACTTCCTGATTCACTTTTGCATAGCCATGTATACATAATTTAAGAAGGACATTTTGATAATGAGTTAGGGTTGAACTGTTAATGGATGATAGTCATTTACCTAAGCCTTTTTCTGTGGTACTGCCTGTCATTAACCATTATTTGAGGAATGTTAAAAGCTATCTCACCTTACATATGAAGGCACTTTCTCTTTACTAGCTAAAGCTCCAAATTAATATCAGATATACAAGCTATTTGCCACCAAAACAAAATTTTCTTTGTATTATATGAATTTCTCACTTTATTTCAAGTGAAATAGGATTTAACAATGTATATTTATCATAAATTTGCTGTTTTTAGCATCTATAATATTGCTGCATTTTAGTGAAGATAAATATTTCTCTATCAAATTCTATTTATAATCCTCTTCATTGTATTGGAAGATAGAGGGGCAAATAAGGCATTCGGTTTCTCTGTAATCATATACTATCACCAAAATAATCATCAGTAAATTATTGATATCAGATAACTATGTCTCAATTTTTATATGTTTGCATATTACTCAGCCATTTAAAATATTACTTTACCTAGCCCATGAATTACATGCAATTTGCCATGGGAAGTTAAAAGCTGTGCAATTGCTTTGAACTAAAACCTTTGAGTAACTTAATGAAGCATGTGCCTTTTAGACTCAGTAAGCACATCATAACGGAATAAGGAAGTTGAGCTTTTTTTGCAGCATTAAATTCTTTCTTAACTAGCCCTTTAGCTTATGTAGATTTAACATGCCAGGTTCTAATCTTGTAAATGTAAAGACTAATTTAAGAGTAAGATTGAAGATTATATTCTAAAATAGAATGTCTCAGCCCAAATTTTCAGACTATGGCAGCCTAGCATTCTGGAAAATAAGAAAAATATATATTGCAAGCTATATAGAACACAGAAATATCAGAGGACAAATGGAAAGTGAGGGGAATTTCTGCAGCCAAGTGATTTAACTTTTCATACTTAAAATTTGTATTTGCATATTACTTTGAAGATGTTTTGAGATTAGTCTATGCATTTGGTATTGCATGCTTGACTTCAGTGCTCCTTTTTCTTCCTGTATCTTTTAATGATAGCAACTAGTTAAAGTCTTTGGATATGTTGACATTGTGTTTCTTAAATATTGTTAAAGAGCAAATTTAAGTCAATGAAAATAGACATCTACAAAGCTGCTAGGCTGCAGGGATTAAGGGCAAGACCACTCACTGGCAAATGCAGAAGCCAAAACAATTAAACCAACTTCCCTGTTGATAATCATGAGATTTATTTATAGATTCACAGTCTTCTTGACCCTTTAATAGGATAGCCATTTTAGATGACTTACACAAATGTAAGCATTCTCTCTATCTGTGATTTTATTTCTAAGATTCTTGCAAACCTAGGGTTACTAAATATTCTTATCTACAGGCAAAGTATATCACTCTCTATTAGATGTTAACCTTCAAGAAAATTGGGCTGTGTAGTCCCCATGGGAACAAAATGAGCTATTTTATTATCTGGAAATGTGTGTGTGTATGCACATATATTTGGCTTTTACAGAGTTTTTCCAAATTTTTTGTTGTTGTTATTATTATCTATCATCATAAATGAAACTGTTTATTTTTCTATATTATTTACTTTTTTATGGTAGGGTTTAAAGTATTACATAAAGAGAGTCATTTAACTTCATAGTCATTAATTGAGGGCATTTTAACCCAAGATCTGATTAGGTAACACTTGAATTTGTTAAAATATAGATTTTACACTCATTCTTCTGGTTTATTCACAATTTAGTAAACAGGGAATATACTTACGTGCATATCCACATGAGCAATTATATTATGGGAATATTAACATTAAACTCTGGAATTCATTTCAAATAAGGTTACTTCCTTTTTTATCAAGAAAAGAGAAGTCAAATGAGGCTGACATATATTAAACAATGATAATAAGAGACATGAGCAATTGAAGAATAAACATGTGTTGGAGTAATTAATGTAAAGAAAAAAGAAAAAAACTAAGTTAGGCTGTTTTTATCTTTCAAATGAATTTTACGTGTTAGTTTTTGAATTGCAAAAATTGGTGGGTAGTGGGGACAATATATGCCTTCCAAAATAAAAGCTAACAATTAACGACAGGACCCATGTGATGCATCAATCTTTGCAGGAGGATAAAGAGGAAAACAATGAGAGGCCCAATGGAAACAAGGCCAAGATGATGCCCAATATTCCAATAGATTTCATGAGAAATCGTTTCAGGCCAATTTCATGATAGTAACTGAAACTGGTAGAGAGGCTTTGCAGGTAAATGAAAAGTCTCTTCTCTAATATCTGAAAGGCCTGAGCACTCTGCAACCTGCAAATTCTTAAAGCTCACCACCTAAGGCTCTTTCCCAGGAGAAACTTCAAGAAAGGAGTCCCATACTTAGGAAATAGAGACAACAGAACCAAAAGAAATGAAAAGTCCAGATGAAAACAAGAGAATAAACAGAGCCTAATGATCACAAAAAATAGAAAGGCATTTTTAAACAGCACTTCAGAAAAGTACAGGAAAGAAGGACCTAGGCCTGTTAGGTTAGAAATAGTCTTGGGGCCGGCAGGTGGAGTGGTGGGTAAGGGCGCTGGACTCCCACATGGCTGACCGTGGTCCAAGTCCTGGACCTGGCAGCTTGCCTTCTCACTTTCTTCTCTCTCTCTCTCTCTTTCTTCCTCTCTCTCTCTCTCTCTTATCAAATTTAAATAAATAAAGTTAAATACAATCTTTAAAAAAAAAAGAAATATTCTACAGATCAAATCCCCCTTCTTAAAAATAGCTAGAAAATTGATTTCAACAAAAAGAAAAAAAAAAGGAAGGAAAAAGTAACAAGAAATAATCATAGAAAGACTAATGCTACAAGGTAAAGACAATGAAGAGTAGAATCAAATCTATGCAAACAATACAATACACCAAAGCATGCTCATAAGACATAGGAAAAATGTCACCTAATACTTCAAAAGAAGCTAAAATGAATACCTTATGTGATAAAATATAGAAAAGTACTGCATAAATCATTTAAAGAAACTGAAATAGGAGCCAGCAGGTAGCATGGGGGTTAAGGCACTGAACTCACATATGGCAAACCGTGATTCAAGTCCCAGACCTGGAAGCTTGAAAATCGCACCAGGCATATGTGTGTGTGCTGCACATCCCAGAAGGATGATGGAGGAGAAGGGATGTGGGTATTGGCATCCCCCCTATGGGCTGCTTTCTTACTTTTCCTCTCTTTTTTCTATCTCTAGCTAGTACACACACCCTATTATGAAAATGAAAACAAAACATAACACACATACACACACACACACACACACAAACAAACAAAAAACTCTGAAATGTGGTGCTGAAATTCAGGAAGGAATTAGAAATTAAAGAATAAATAATTTAAAAAATGAATACTAAATATTTAATAATATGAGTCAACACTCCTAAGATAAACTGCCATAAGAGTTTTGGGGAAAAACATGAGGAAGTTTCTAAAGAAAAAAAAAAGAAAGAAAAGTAACTCTATTAAACTGAAAGTGACATGTATAGAAGATAAGTATCAAGACCCAAAATAATAGGTTTTCCAAGAGAGAAAACCAATGCAACATTTATAACTCACAGAAACATTCCTGAATATAGACTTGAAACTACATGTCGAATAGGATCATTATATATGTTGAAGAGTATTCTGTAATGAATAATATCAAGACATATTGTGGCAAATCTACTGGGTTATAAAAAAAGCAAAAAATAAATAATAAGTAATAAAATCAGTTTGTCATCCAGATAAATAAATATTTTAAGAATGATAGGAAAAATAGTTGGTTATTGGATTTTTCAAAAGCAGTTCTTTATGCTGAAAGTAAATGGAGTGGCATTTTAAAGGTACTCAAGGAAATGTATTGTGAGCCAAGGATTTTAGATCTACCAAAAGGACTTCCAAGTATAAAGACCAAAAGATTCATTTATCAACATACAAGAACTCAGGACATTACTCCCAATAAATGGAAACATCATCTGCCCATGTACTCAGATCCAAGCCTTGGTATGTTTCTTTTTTTTCTCTGAGTTAAAAAAAAGAGAAAAAGAAAAAGAAAAAAAGAAAATCCCAAATTTGACCTCTCCATCCCCACTTTTATCTGTCCACTCCTCATCTTTTGCTGACAGGACTGTAACAGGCTCCTGTTTCTCTGCTCCCACTCTTGCCAACGTCGAATCTGTTCCCCACAAGGCAGCCAGAGTAAGCTCTAATTATTTATGCCTGTGCTCAAAACCTTACGACATCTTACATTACTTCGTCTTGGTTGTCTCCAATCTGCTCTTCGCTTGCTACGCGCTGACCACATTGCTAACCCACTGTCACTCAGTATTTTCCAGCTTCAGGGAGCCTGTTTGCTGTTCCCCTGCCTGGAATGCTTTTCCATGGAAGGAAATACATATGCTCTCATGTGATTAAGATGTCTTTCCAAGTGTTTTCTCCTCAGAGTGGCCTTTTCTGACCCGTTTCTAAAATAGTGACCTCTATCACTTTCCCTAAACTTATTGAGCTTTATATTTCCTCATAGGGCTTCTTGATCTTCTGACATAAATCTATTTATTGCACTTTTCCCTGCTAAAATGTAAGCTCCCTGGTAGAAGGGATTATGTTTATTTTAGTTTATGCTCAGTTCTCAAATAGTACTTGACATGAAGTTATATATTCACCCAAGAATATTTCTTGATGGACTGAAGAAATTCATAAGAAGTGTTACAGACCAAAAAATAGAGTATATCTGTTATGGAAAATAAATCAATAATAGGCTGTTACTGAAAGCAAAATGTGTTGGAGGCATTCTTGAAATTTGTTCCTATTTTTTCCAAGAGTAGTATGATACATATCTATCATACGTTCCTTTTAAATGCTACTGTCAGAGTGTGTTCAATATGGCTTTGAAGTGTCTCTTGTCCTCAAAGAGGCAAAATCTAATCAATGATTCAGTATGTAACTCATGTAATTATGAACTAGTATCAATCCAAGTACCATGCACCTAGAAGAGGTTCTTTAAATCAAATGTCATAGCTGACACCTAAAGGTGAATTTATCACCTTATGGAATATTTTTTCCTGTATTATGTCATTTTACTGTTCTATGCTTTCTTAGGGTGCTAAGTAACAATGATAACAGATCATTTTATTGATTTTCAAGACTCTTTCCTTTAATGAAAAGTGAACAAAAAAAATCGGATGTAAAAATAGTTCAACTTACATAATTTGGTCAAACTAAGTGTAACATACAAGGAGTCTTCAAAAAAGTTTATAAAAATGTGTATTATTTTTAAAAAATGCATATATTTTTAAATATGTGGCACCAAAATAAACTCATACTTTAATTCTATTTATATTTTTTCTGAAGTCTCCACGTACACAGACCTTTATTATAGCACCTACCAATGATTATCTTCTTTAATCCTGCTTGATTCAGGTCCTGAAAAATGATTTGCTGATAGGCTCAGTCCTCACCAGTGCCTGAACCAGCCTATATCAGATTTAGAACACATTTCAACCCTATACCCACCCGTACCACTTTTGCTTCTGGAAGTCTATCTTCTTTCCCTGTGTTGTTCACTGTGTGTTCTTTCTTTTCCAGTGGGTTGCTGCCCAGATTTCTTCATGATAGAATCTCCAACTGCTGTAAATCTCAGCCTATTAGAATACGGCTTGGCCGCTGTGGAGCTCTTTCCAACCCTTATCAAGAGTGAATTCTCATCTTTACTATTCTCACTTGCCGATAAGGGCCTTAATACAAATCATATCACTTTTCCTGGCCACAGGAACCAGTACTTGACTAAAAAGTTTTGTACCCTAGAAAAAGTGAATTCTGGGGCCAGACAGTGGCACCGTTGTACAGTGTAATATTTTGCAAGGGAATCCTACACGGGAAAGTTCCCAGTTCAAATCCAGAGGCTGTTCTGAGAATGCTAGGCATAAGCTTTGGGGTTGGCTGAAGGCTGGGGGTGAACCATGGCATCAAGACCAAGTTGGGAAGCTCTCTCTCTAGTCTTTTTCACTTATAAAATGCATTTAAAAGCAAAATACCACTACTGTGGTACAACTATTGAGTAGTGTACTAGACTATGGAAGACACATGTCAAGTGAGGCTGAAAACATGCCAAGTGCATACATGCTCTTGCTTAGGATCCTGTCAGGCTAGAATAAATATATAACTAAATAAACATATCTAATTAATTGTACTGACTGAAAAGTATAAAAGGCATGTTTTAATATGGGTTAGAGATACAGACCTCAGTAGCAGAGTGGATACGAATACACACTTGGGGTTGAGACTAAGGAAAAATCCATTTTAGAGTAGGGTATTTTTCTGGTATTCAATTGTGCTTGATTTGATACTGTTTGCATCTTTAATCTCAATAGTTTTATAATTACATTTAGCTCAAATATATATTAACTTTATGTTAATTACGGGGCTAATGCAGTGTTTGAATGCGAACCAAGAACTTTATGTCTGTAGTTGGTAGTTTAATCTGGCTTTTGAGGAATTTTAATGTGAAATCACCATTTAGCCTTGTAATAGCATTTCTTAGGGCCAAGCACTTTCCATTAAGTTTGGCACTAGGGATGAAAGAAGATGCATGAATATGTTTTAGTCACAGGAGTAAACAATGTAATTAATCTTTATCAATACAAAGAATGGGGTATCTAGTAATGAAGCAACTTAAAATACATACATTTAAATACTTAACCAATTTATTTTATTCCCTTGCATGTGGTACTGTAAGAATTCAAGAATGGACTATGTTTATTTGAGTAAAATTTGAATATTTGTCCTAATTGTTATATGGCTTGGGGGAAAACAATGTAATCATAATCCATAGATGTTTTCTTCTTTGCTTATACTATGTCATAAACAAGAGTGTCTCTTGATTAGATGGTAATGTCAGTGTTGCTCAAATGTACTGTGGTAGGAATTTAGAAACTTATACCAATCAAAGGATAAATATAGAAAAAGAAAAAGATTTAAAGCAATGCATTTTTCTTGAAGAAATTTCCTTATAAACTTGTATCATTTTGCCAATAATACACCATTTGAATAATAAAAAAATATTTTATGATTTAAATAACTATCCAACTTACATTTTACCCTTCTTTTTTTGTGTGTGTTTCCTTAGATAAGAAATGTTGAAACCAATCAATGTTTAGACAACATGGGCCGCAAGGAAAATGAAAAAGTGGGTATATTCAACTGTCATGGTATGGGAGGAAATCAGGTAAACTCTCCTTTTTTTAAAATCAGATTTGTATTTTGTGGAAAAGTTATTGTTTCAACTCTTAGGGCAGACCGTAGCTCATGTGTTAGTAACACTAACTAAAACCTCAGTTTAGTAAATAAATAGACATTAAAGTCAGGTCAGTTATTTTATTGCTTCAGGTATCTTAAAAGAGTAAAGCAATTTTTTAAAAAGGGACACTGTTAGTAAGGATAGCCAAATATTTTTGGCCCATCTCATTTGTCACATATGAGCAAATGAGGACTTTATTTTATCCTGTTACTAGCTACATAATGTAAAATAAGTCCAAATAACTCCTCAACAACTGTGATATTTTATCAATAGTGATTATTCTGTATTTCTTTGGCAAAATTTATGCATATCATGGTTTTCAGGAGTTTTTGAAATCCAATGTTTGTCAGTACATGGGTCAGCATTGATGGCTGATTATAAGTCTAGAATTTGTGTGTGTGTGCGTGCGTGTGTGTGTGATAGCCCAATTCATTATCAGAGATGCATCAGAGTATAACAAAGGTTGTGTTAGAAAGCGGGTTTGTAAGGTGGGCCCTGTGGAAGCAGCTGGGCTGTGTCTTCAGGTTAAAGCAACCCTCTCGTGGTGGCCACTTTGGGAAGAACTCAGGTTCCTGGAAACTATAACAACAAAGCAGAATTTGGGAGGGCTAATCTCTGGACAAGTTGCTATAGATGTTGAGGTGAACCATAGCTGTTAGTTCTTCCTTTAGTGATAGAATTTCCAGGGTAGGGTGAACTGATATTATAAAAGTTATTCTGTCCAGAGTAACACTGTGGTAATATTGGTGAGACAGCTGATTGTGTTAAGATTCATACAGAAGTATATGTTGATTCTGCTACCATAAACAAGAAGAGAATGAACCCTGTTGAGTTTGGGCACTGTACTTCAAGCAAGGCCTATGTGATTTAATTGAAAGAAAAATTCTTCAGTTAAAAAAAAAAAAAGATAAAGAGAAAATTCTAACTATTGTTCCAAAGTCTCAAACTAAGGAAAAAAAAAATATTTGAAACCAAGTTTCTAAATCACAGCATGGAAAAAAGGCTTTATATTGGGTTGTCAGAAAAGTCATGACATATTTTGCATAGAAGAACATAGAAAAAAATACATAATGACTTTTACAATAACTCAATAGAAGATAAAGAAATGAAAATGTGGTCAGAATAATGACCAAACACTCACAAATGGTTCAGCTTGCTATTACATTGGTACATATTGAATCGAAGAGGCCTCAACTGCCAGAAGCCAATGAGACCTGATGAATTCATCTTGAGATGGTAAAATGGCTAACTTTCAGAGGACAAAATACATGGAAGTTTAGTTTGTTAACACAATTAGGAAGTCTGAAGGTAGTTAGTTACTGATATTTGTTTAGGTCCTCAGTGATTGCATTAAGAGACCAGAAACTATATTTTTTTCACTCTTCAGTCTTTTTTTTTTTAAATTTTTTTTAGAGGTTTTTGCTATAGGGTGTGTGCGCTCACCAGACAAACAGAGAGAGACAGAGACAGAAAGTGACAAATCACCACCCAGGTGGGATGGTCATGCCGCAATCTCTTCTCTTCCATTCTCCTCTCGGGATCTTGGGCACACACGCACACGCACCCGGTGTGAGTTTTAAGTCACCGGGTCCGGGGCTCGAACTGCGGTTGGCTACGTGGGAGTCCAGCGACATAGCCATTACACTAACTGCTGGTCCCCCTCATTCTTCAGTCTTTAGAGTTAATTTTATCATCAGTTGGTTAGGAGAAAGCTGCTGGAACTCCAGATGTGTCCACATTTAAGGCAGCAAGAAGTGAGGGTAGGGAACTACAATAATTATGTCTTTTTTTCTTTGTTTTTCAGTTGCCAGAAGGCAAGTTTGTTTGCCAGAAAAAGAGGGAAAAAGCACCCCTTATTAAGGACATGATCATGTCACATGCAGCTCCTTCCCCATTTTTCCATCCTGTCACATGCAAACTCATGCTCAACCTATTTTTCAAGCAGCTAGGGCCAGGGTCTAAACCACTGTCAACTATGTGGGAACTGGCCTCCTTAACCATTAGGCTGTAGGGCCCCTATGTTTGTCTTTTTGTTAGAAAAAGCAAAAGTCTTCCTAAGAGCTTAACTCAGTTCCACATACATTTCTTTGCCCAGAAATGTGTTACGAGGACATCCATAGTGAGAAAAGAAGTCACTTAATATTTAAGCCACACACAGAGCTGCTTCTTGCAGTTCACTTACCATGATATTGAGTGGCCTTTAGGATGTGCCTTCACAGTCTATTTCAGTAGGTTATCAGAAAAAAAAAAGTAATCTGATTTGTGATGATCTACCGAATTCCAAGGAGAAATGATACTTATGAAATCACTCTGATACTAATAGAGATGAAAATGAAGAAGGTAGATCTCCCTCATGGATTAATCATGCAGATTCATTAAGGGGCTATGCTTAGTCCCCAAGAAGATAAAACAGTCACATATCCATGTTTGTCTAAATGTCACCAAACACCTTTATTACAATTTTTTAAGATTGCATTATTCATCTACAAGTTTCAAATACCCAAAAATAAGCCACCCCACTCTACTGTAAACGTCTTACTGACAGGTCCATATCTTACCCTGTCTTCCAGCATCTGGCACAGTCTCTGGGGTATTGTAAGGACCTAATGATTATTAGTCACGTAAGCAGATGAAAGACCACTTTATCAGAACCCTGGATTGGTACATTTTTACAACAGATAGTAGTAGATACTACCAAGAATAATCAGCTCTTTCTATAGTAATAGTGAATAGTACATAAAGACATCAATTTTAGGGATTTATTTAAAAAGCAAACAAGTAAGCAATAAGCAAAAAAAACATTACTACATTTATTCTAATATCTCTACTCTAAATTTGATCAACCTACTGACAAGATACAAATTAAAACCAATATTTTTCCATTACATGAATACTTCTTACTGTGCACAAATGTACAAAAGGACTTCAAAAAGTTTGTGGACAAATGAATTAAACTGAGTTTATTTTGGTACAAAAAGAAAATGAAATTCAGAAGTCAGCAGGTGGTATGGTAGTTAAGGGCTGGATCCCACATGCTGATTGTGAGGTTCAAGCCCTGTTTTCAGTGGTTTGAAAAGTACACTGAGCATCCATGCATGCCCAAAATCCAGAGAAGACATTGGAGAAAAAAGGGATGGTGGTGCAGCCATTCCCCCTGAAGAGCGAATTCTCTCTTTGTTTAACTCCTATAACCAAACTGTTATTTTTTTTTAGAGGTTTTCACTTAGGGTGCATGCACTTGCCAGAGATAGAGACAGAAACAGACAATAAGAAAGGAAATGAGAAATCACCTTCTCCTCCATTCTCCTCTGGGATATTCAGCACACATGCACATATGCCTTATGTGATTTTTCAAGCCACTGGGTCTGGGACTCGAAGCACGGTTGGCTATGTGGGAGTCCAATGGTACAAGTGCTATGCCATCTGCTGGCCCCTAGCAAAATATTGACAGACATGAAACCTTTGCATAATTTTCCATAATGTGTTCCCATGAACATTTTAAAGCCCACTCACATATGTACAGGACTGCTTTTTGAGTCATTTAGAAATAATGAAAAGAACTAAATATTAACTAAGAGGGAAATGGTTAAATAAATCATGTTTTACCCAATGGTGATTTTACATAATCACCAAAATGACTGAGGTAAGTCTGTATGGATTGTCATTGAAAATTCAAAAGAGAAAAAAATATCCAGAGTACAACCCACTTTCAGTTCTTATTTATGAAAAGAAAGTGAGCATTTTGTACATATAGTATCTGTCTTATCTAAATATTTATGTACATGCCCTGTAGTCTATTATAGATATTAGCTGTCTACCTGGATTGTTGACTATGTCTGGACAGAGGAAATATGGAATGAAGAGTCAGTTGGAATAGGAAATTTAACCTTTTAACCTCACTTTTTAACATTTATCTACCATCTATATTTTCTGTACATAGTATCTTCATAATTAAACATAAAAATAAGGTCAGTTAAACTGTTGAGGATAAAAGAGCATTTTGTAGCATCATTTTGACCTGATTCATTGGGTAACTTACAGTGATTTAATATTTTTGAGCTTTAATATTGATTGTCTATAAAATGGCTAAAAAGATTTCTTCCAAATTTTCTCTGTTTTTGGAGAGGTTTTTGCTATAGGTGTGTGTGCTCACCAGAAAGACAGAGAAAGACAGAGAGACAGAAAGTGAGAAATAACTCCCCCCACCCCCCGCGGGGGATGGTCATGCCAAAATCTCTTCTCCTCCACTCTCCTCTCAGGATCTTGGGCATGCATGTACATGTGCCCAGCGTGAGTTTAAGCCACCGGGCCCGGGACTCGAACCTTAGCCGACTACATGGGAGTCCAGGGACATAGCCATTATGCCAACAGCTAGTCCCCCAAATTTTCTCTTAAGACTATTAATATTCATAAAACAAATAACACTAAACGTGGTATACACTAAACATTCAATATATAGTGGGTCATTGATACTAATTTATCTTTACTTACTATTTCAATATATGTTTTCTATGATTTTTCTTTTTATTTCTAAAAGTTAAAAGTAAAATATTCATTCAGTATCTAATGCCTAAGAATGTCAAATAAAATCACAACATGCCCTTATGAATTGTTGTGCTCAAAATGATTGTCTCTCCTGTTAGTCTGACAAATGTATACCATGAAAAATTTAAACCATCACATAAAATTCTGATACAGTGATTTCTGCCTTGAGAGAATTCAATATTTGCAGGATGATTAATGCTAGAAACATGTTTAAATTTTGTCTTACTCATTTGAAAAAGAACAGATTTCAGGATTTTATTCTCAGAGGTACCCTCTCTGTTTTCACTGTTATTTTTTGTGTAACCATGGAAACAGTGTCTCTTTTTATGGTTATTTACTTTTAAATTTTTACAAATAGTCCCCAACCCATACAAATAGTTAAA